CCAACCGGGCGGCCCCCCAGCTGCTCTCCCCCGGCTTCCCCAAGTCAGCTGCTGGTTAGTTTCAGCAGCAGCAGACTTGGGGAAGCTGAGGGCAGAGCAGCTGGGGTGCTTTGCCCCAGGGCTTCCCCAAGTCCACCGCTGCTGAAACTGACCAGCGGCAGACATGAGGAAGCCGGGGGCAGAGCAGCTCCAATTGTCCAGCTGGCCGGAGCACTTCTGGGTTCCAATTGGTGCCAGACCACTGGATGCCGGACAATTGGAGTTTTACTGTAATTAGAAATGCACAAAACCAGCATTTTAATTTTTATAGTGAATAAAACTACATAAATGCAGAAAACATAAGATTGCTTTTTAAAAACATGCTTTGTAATTAAAATTAATCTTTATTTAAAAGGAAATATCTGTAACGAATTGCAGTGGTTGTTTCTGGTCACCATGTCTTTCAAAATTGTACAGCTAGTAGATCTCATCCTCTCACAAATAGCTCTATTCATAGATTAAAAGAGGAAAATAAGTTTTCCTGCTTTTTCAACTTTCAGTTGATTTCTTAATGCTGACCAAACTAGTCATTTGAACTGAACTAGTTAAATAAACTGAAGTGAAAAAATATTATCTTTGCACTTGCAGAAAAGGCAGTTGATGTCAAAAGCTGGTTTAGCACCTCAGCAAACTCTGTTTCCAGGTGCTTAACCCAGCAGTTCAATGTTTGATTACCTGTAAATCTGCACAGCAAACATACAAGTTTATTTAATTTATATACTATTTAGTAGACTATAATAAATTTAGGCCTCATCGTTAGGCTGTCATTTTGAAAACCGTAGAGTTTTATCCACTGTGTCTTTATGGCACCTCCTCAAAGGTATTTTGAAATCTAAATATACTGTCAGCTAATTTTCCTTCCTTCACTTCTTTTTGGGCACCTTCAATGAATTCTAACGTTTGAGACATGATTTTCTTTGCTAAAACTGTACTGCCCAGACCTATCATACCATAAACCTAAAGGCATTCTGTTCTGCTTTTAATTATAACTTCAGCCGATTGGCCAGGTACAGTTCTAAGGCTTTACTGATCTCAAGTTCATCAAGAGTACTCCAAGAGACTTTTAAAAATATAGGTTGAACATTTGCTATCCTCCAGTTCTCTGGAACAGTGGCTGTTTTTTAATAGCAGAATACTAATTTCATCCTTAAGGGCCTTTTGAACTCTTGGATGTATACAATCAGTGCCTGTTGGAATATTGCTTTCAAAATTATTAGTTTGCTGCACTGTTGCTGCCTCTTAAACTTGAATTTGAGGGCAGCTGATCTTTATAAGAAAAGAGCAGATCTGGGAACAGTTTCTTCTCAGTGGTGAAAACTCATGCAGAGAAATCACTTAGGACACATTATGGATGATAAAGACGCATCAGTGTCCTTACAGAGAACCAAAAAAGTGCCACCGTGGCTTGGCTTAACCAAGTAAAAGAAACAGTAGGAGATAAAGTCATCATTTAAAAAGGAGAAGTTAAATCCTAGCGAGGGAAAATAGAAAGCATTAACTCTGTCAAATAAAGTGTAAAAATATAATTATGAGGACCAAAAAGGAATTTGAAGACCAGATACTTTTTAAATGTTTGGTTAATAGTAAAAATTTTAAGTAATCAGAAGCAGGAACGCTGCTAAACAACCAGTGGGGCCACTGAATGACTGAGATGCTAAAGCAGTGGTCTCCAACCTTTTTACACCAAAGATCACTTTCTAAATCTAAGAACAGGTGAAGATCTACCGCCCCGCCCCTTCCTTGAAGCCCCGCCCTCTCTATTCTCCTCCTGTCCATCACTTGCTATCCCCAGCCCTTACTTACACACTCTGATAAACAGTTTATTTTTAAATTATGCAATATATAAAATTAAAATCATGTGTTTATAGTTATGAAATAAATGGTCTGTTTTTTATTCATGCTATTTAAATCTAAAATAAAGCATTTATAATTATACATTTTGTTGGGACAGAGTTCTGCGGGTGGGGGCAGGAGAGAGGAAACAGGGTGCTGGGAGGGCAGAGGACAGGGTTCTGCAGCAGAGGACAGTGCGCCAGTGGGGATAGAGTTCAGGGAGTGGGGACGGGAATGGGGACAGAGCTCTGTAGCTGGGGACGGGAGTGGAGACAGAGCACAGGGGGCGGGGTGCCAGTGGAGGCAGAGAGTCTCCTGCATCTGCCTCCTCCCAGGATTCCTCCCCCCCTTCAGAGGGAAGCCAGCGTGTGCCTCCTCCGGGGC